AGAGGAACCATATGGCCGTGCGGGGCAGGAGCCACTGTTTTTTTAACCCTATGGTGAGGGAGCAGCCTGTTGGACTCCACTCAGCTGAGGCAGGCCTTCGTGGCAGCAGGACTCACAAAACTAGCAGACTTGAGAACTGAGCGAGGCTGGAAAAGTGCAGCCCAGCTGAGCAAGGAGACTGAGGTGAGGTCTGAGCGGGTGCTGCAGAGGCTGCTGTCGGATGTGCAGGGTGGGCTCCCTGTGCATTTCAGGGAGGCACTGGGACTTTATGGACTTGTTCCATCTGTCCAGCCAGTGGCCTTCCCCTCACTGCGTGTACGAGCCACTGGAGGGTCACAGGACCACGTTGGAGGAATTTTGTCTTTTGACACCCCTGTCTTCTCAGAGATGGCAGCAACGAAGAAGAAGGACTTTTACATTCTGTCCACCAAAGTCCTCCACAGAGCCGAGCTGTCCGGTGTCCCAGAGTCAGGTGGTCAGGGGTGTTGGCCCCAGGTTCTTCTCCACGAGGCTGCTGGAGGTCCCTGTACCTGCCCCCCATAGAGAAACGCTGCGCGGATCTCCAGTGGAGGGTGGTGCACGGGGCCGTGGCCACGAACAGACATGTGGCCCACCTTGACCCAAGATCAGACAAACACTGTGCCTTCTGCCAACAAGAAGAGACACTGGAACATCTGTGGCTGTCTTGTCCCCGGTTGGCTCCCCTCTTTACTCTCTTGGGCCAATGGCTTCACACTCTGGGCCAAACACTCACCCGGGAGCTCTTTGTGTTTGGCCCCAAGTTTCTGTGGCCCAGCGCAGGACTGCACCACTGGTGACTTTGTCCTGGGTCAGGCAAAGATGAGCGTGTGGCTCAGCAGGAGGAACCACATGTCCGTGCACTCAGGATGTACAGATTCCCTCCAGTCCAGGTGAGTTTGTGTACAGTGCACTGTGGGGCAGGTGGTGTGCAGTGGGGGGGAGTTTGTGTACTGCACTGTGGAGTGTTGTGTACAGTGCACTGGGGTCGGGCTACAGTGTGGGGGGCAGGTGGAGGACTTTGAGGCAGTGTGGGCGGTGAAGAGGTGTTTTGTGTTCAGTGGGGAGGGGCAGTTTTTTTACATCTGTAGGGGGGATTACGACATTGTTTATTTTTTTTATGTCTTTGGTGCTTTGTAGGATTTAAGTCATAAGTGATATAATAAATGTATTGTTAAAAGTCAAAAGTCTCTTCCCTCTTCTCTCTCTTCTCTTTCTCCTCTTTCTCTCTCTNTTCTTCTTCTTCCTTCTTCTTCTTTCTTCTTCTTCTTCTTCTTCTTCTTCTTCTTCTCTTCTTCTTCTTCTCTCTTCTTCTTCTTCCTCTTCTTTCCTCTTCTTCTTCCTCTTCTTCTTCCTCTTCTTCTTCTTCTTCTTCTTCTCTTCTTCTTCTTCTTCTTCTTCTTCTTCTCTTCTTCTTCCTCTTCCTTCTTCTTCTTCTTCTTCTTCTTCTCTTCTTCCTCCTCTTCTTCTTCTTCTCTTCTTCTTCCTCTTCTTCTTCTTCTCTTCTTCTCTTCTTCTTCTTCTTCTTCTTCTTCCTCTTCTTCTTCTCTTCTTCTTCTTCTCCTCTTCTTCTTCTCTTCTTCTTCTTCTTCTCTTCTTCTTCTTCTC